GCGTTAAAAACTAAATTCCAAATCTCGTTTCGGCAACTCTACCCTATGCTATGTAGAACATCAAAATTAAGTTTGATCAACAAAGTTCGACTATACAAAATGGTTATTAAACCAGCGATCACTTACGCAAGTGCGGCTTGGTGTTTTCTCGCCAAAACTCATTTGCGTAGCCTGCAGGTTTTGCAGAACAGAACCTTGCGTACAATCACTAACGCCCCACGGTATGTTTCCAACGAGACCCTTCACAGAGACCTTGACATCCCTTACCTAAGGGACTACATCAAACAACAAGCGCAGCTACGTTACAGTCAAGCAGAATCGCATAACAACCCTTTGATGCGCGAGTCAGTAGACTACACAGTCGAGCAAGTTCGCAAGCACACAAGGCCGCGACTCGCACTGTGAACAAAATTAAATCGTGCGACTTTAGGTCCAACCAAAATTATAATTTTTCTTCAACAACCAATCCCAAAATTAATTTTAGGATCAATTTAAAATTGCCGAATACTAACTAGCAATGCCAAGGCACCCCTCAAATTGATGCACTTCTTTTTTCTTTGCTCTCCCTCCTTCCTTCCTTCCTTGCTTCTTCCCTTCTTTCTCCCTGACTTTGTTTGGTATCTGGGCAACCAGACCTGACAGACCTACTGACTTACAAGACTTCAACCAAGAGCAAAGGTCCTACGGACCGCTCTGACAGACAATGACGAATAGTAGTAGCTATGCTCTTAGCTAAATAAGGGGCAGTTTTTTGAGCTCGCTGTATAATTCATAAGTACGCAACTTCTAAGCCTTCTATCCTTCTAGACACTTTAGATTGCTTTAAGCCAAGTTGGTATATCGAGAACATTTGATCAACATCCCTTGAGGAACGCACTGTCAAAGTTTTGAGCAACTCCACCAGAATCGCTTTTCCCATAACAATAGTGCCTGGTCGTCTCTAGTTCCTCTGCATTTTTCCGAACTTCCCTTTATAATATTTTCTAAAGCTGTGGATCAATTTGTTCATTAGAGAATTTAATATCCCGTATGTTTTATTTTTCCAAGAGTCTAAATCATCAATCATTTTTGTATGAAGTCAAAAACGGTTTCAGGCGGCTCAGTATGGCAAAGAAGGGAACATGGCATGACATTAATAATTTGTGAATGTGTATGTATACGTAGCATTTAGCATCCACCAATTTTCTTTAATATCTAACAGGAAGGCTGCTATTCAAAGAGTCAAAGTCTAGAATGGCAAGTTGAAACTAAATGTATGGTTTAGCTTTCTCATTCTGTGGTATATGAACATTAAGTAGGAGAGAAAAACTAATACTAACAAATATATTTTTATAGTAATCGAAAAGAATGAAGTTTTAACTGTGCTGCCAGGGTAAATCTAAGAACAACTCAAATGACAGAAGTCGTCAAGGCGTTGCTGCAACCCGTGAAATATAAATTTCAAAGATAAAATTTTCGATTGAAATCCATCATTTAGATTTAATAAAACTTCAATATACCCAGTGTGACTGCCAGACAAATCTAGAAATATCTCTTATGTCAAAATCCATAAATTCGTTCAAGCTATAGCCCTTGAAATAGAAATTTCAAAGGACCCCGCACAAAACATACATAAAATGAGTCCCAGTCGACTTGTCTAAAAATTCAGTTTGATCTATTTCTCGCCTTCCTGAACAAAACTTCTCATGACACCAAAGCGATTATATGATTAGTTTCTGAGAAATGGTGGGATGAAGCTTGTCCGATTTGGAAAAATAGCCAAGGTACCGATTGTAGTTCTCAGACCAAACACTTGGAAAATTGTAATACTGAAAGAAATATTTTATTAAAAAACATTTTAGGAAGGTGTTAGGGCATGTCATGCTTACCTTGACCATTCTGATCCTAGAAGGTGGATTCATGAAGAATGCAAATGCAGCACTTGTACTTGAAGATTGCTTGATAGTCTGCATCGTCGGTAAAAGCAAAGGAAGTATAATTAATTATAACTAAAAGCAATGTTCACACTTGTACGCTCTCCCCTTCATCTTCAAATGAATATGACCTTGATTTGACCTTGTCAATGTCATAACTTTGGCCAGATCTATTTCAGAATTAACATCAAAAAATCAACCTGCCCTTATATTGACCTTGAAACGATCTCGATCAACACTTCTTTAAGTAACACGATTCTCGGAGTTTTTGGTATGAGAACTAGAATCGGCGCATTAATCATTTTTGCAAATCGGACAAACTGTATCTTCCCATGTCTCAGAAACTAATCACAGGACATTGCTTTGGTCTCATGAGAGCTTCTGTTCAGGACGGTGAGAAATATATCATACTCAATTCTTAGACAAATCGGCAGGGAACCATTTTCGATATGTTTTGTGCGGCGCTACATTTATATCATCTAATTTTAACATACCCAGTATAACTCGCACGGTTCAGACAAAGTTAGAGACACATCATACCTATGTCAAAATCAACTGATCCGTTTTAGCTTTAAGCTAGTCCGCTCAATATAAATTTTAATGTTGAAAATTTTTCTTTTATTACGCCAATTTGTACCCATTGTTGTTCGCACTGTTAAGACAAATCAAGTAACATTTCGTACGCCAGAATCCATTTTCAATTAAAATCCGTCATTTTGGTTTTATAAAATTTTAATGTACCCATTGCTACTCACGCTGTTAAGAGGAATCCAACAACGCCTAACAAGTCAAAATCCATCAAGCCGTTTGATCTGCATCCAGTGAAATCGTTCTTGTCCACATACATACATAAATATTACATGCATACATACACACATACATACATGAATATATATTTTCGCCCACCATACAATGTGAGGACCTCCCATGTAAAATTTGCATACAAAGTGAGGACCACGACAAAGTGAGGTCCGTATACCGAAAGAGACCCTATGTATCGTGCTCCTCGACCTCTAATTCTTAAGAAGACGTGAAAGAAGATGGTCCTCAGCTTGTACCCGGTACGCGGTACGTTAAAATTTGTATATCGTACTTGGACGTTCCACCGAACCTGGCGCTGCGCGCTCGGAGTATATTTTCTTTACGTGTATATTTTGCAGTCAATATAAAACCAAGTGAGGACCGCAAGCAAGGCAACAACGATCGGACCTCGTAAGGTTGATCAAACGAACTGGACATTCCAATACACATTACGAGTATATACAAATATATTTCTTATAGGAGAATAATAATCAGCATCAGCCGACGACAGGCTATGTCAGGCCTACTCGAGCTGTTTGGACTGTATCCAGTGAAACCAAGCTTTACTTGTCCACATACAGACACATACCTTCATACACACATACGAGTACATACATGAATATACAGGGTGTTAATAAGGTATGTAGACAAACTTTAACCATCGAATCCATGGTCAATTTGAGGACGAAATTTCTATATGAACATGGGTCCGCAACGGCTTTGTTTTCAAATACTTCCAAGTTTTGGTGATTACTAATTGTCATAATGGTCCTGTTCAGTAATCAAGAAATGACAGATATGCATTTCGTTTACGGAATGGCTCTGGGAAACGCTCGACGAGCACGTCGTTTGTATGGTGATCGATTTCCACAACGCCCGCTGCCTAATGTTCAAACTTTCATCAACATTCACGCTCCACTATGTGAAACATGTAGTTTCAAGAGATCCACACATGTTGCAGGAAGACCCGCAAGTGTAAGAACCATCCAAGTCGAAGAAGCTGTGCTTAATAAAATCGAGGAGGACCCTACAACAAGTACACAAAAAATTGCGCACCAGCTAAATTTAAATCATGTAACGGTATGGCAAATTTTGAAAGATCAGCAACTTCATCCATATCATATACAACGTGTACAAGCGCTTTTGCCTCGAGATTTGCCTCTAAGAGTTGATTTTTGCAACTGATTACGTGAAAAGGTAACGTTAAATCAAAATTTTTTAAATCGAATACTATTCACGGATGAAGCTTGTTTTTCGCGAACAACAATAATAAATTTCCACAGTAACCATGTATGGTGTGAAGAAAATCTCCATGCCATAATAGAACATAATACGCAACACGACTTTTCCTTCAATATTTGGATTGGAATCGTTAGTGACCACTTGATTGGCCCTCATTTCCTTCCCCCCAGACTAAGCGGCGAAGAGTACCGAAGATTTTTGGAATTTGACCTACCTGGATTAAAGGAGGAGGAGGAGAACACCTAGATAATAATTATCCAAATCGAAGGATTGGAAGAGGCGGACCACAGCCATGGCCGCCTAGATAGCCTGATATGAATCCTATCGATTTCTTTTTATGGGAACATTTGAAATCAGTGGTTTACAAGACTCCTGTTCAAAGCGTGGAGGACTTAAGAGTCAGAATTGTCGAGTCATGTCTGACTATACAAAATACTCCGGGTATTTTCAGGAGTGTCAATTGTGTAACAGATTAGACGCCTGTATTGAAGTCGAAGGTGGCCACTTTGAACATTTATTGTAAAAAAACTATTCGATATTTTCTATTGTTGTCGATCTATTCGAATGTTACTGTTCAAAACTATTGACCATCCACGTTCGAATTGAGCCTCAGCAACTTGAAAGACATGCAAAATGTATCATAGTTTATACCAACTGATCAATAAATACGTTTCAATAATCATATAAATATTTGGCTCATTACTTGTATCCCTTTAGCTCGAAAAGAAAGCCGTTACGAACCTATGTTCATATGAACATTCAGTCTTCAAATTGACCAAGGATTCGATGGTTAAAGTTTGTCTACATACTTTATTAACATCCTGTATACATACACACAAACACATTCATAAATACATGCACGCATGCATACGTACATACAAACATAGCCCATCGGGCGGAAAACATAACCCATCTTCTGAAGCAGGCGGGTACAACTGTGTGCGTCCAATGCAGATTGCAGAGCGGTGTTCTTGCAACCTTGTTCTTGTCTTTAGGTTAAAAATTTGTAATTCGCAGCTGCCACGTTATCATAGCACATCTTACCTCTTTGGTTGTATGAGAATCCACCTCGCTCAAGTTGATACTAAGCAAGGTCGTCTGAACTCGTTCAGCAATATTTTCGGAAGCCTGATGTGAGCAATCGCAAAAGATGTAAAGAAGTGACATACAGTATACCGCGTCTACCAACAAACCTAGCTCTTTGAATGAGAGTGTTATTCCATTTTCTATGGCCTCAGATGTAAATCCATACACCTAGGAAAACATAAGAACTTTGTAACTCAAGGTTCGTACCTTTATATGATTAACGTAACACTTGAAACTTGTCGATTTTATGGCTATAGATGAAAAGACGTCCCCCTAGAAACCAAAATTGACATGTCCCAGCGTTTTTTCCAAAATATACCAGGACAGTCACAAATGGGGGCGCGGCCTTTTCTTTGGACCACCCTGTATACAGGGTGTTGCTTAATGGTATGCGAATATTTAAGAGAGTGAATCTACATGAAAAATCAATGTTAGTTTGCTTCATAAACCATCGTCCAAAAATGTTTCCTTACAAAAACTCGGGGTGTTGAAGTGTTAGGAAAAAAATGGAAATTAATTAATATTTTCAGCACCGCTTCAGATATTTCACTGATATTTAGTACGTAGTGAAAGTTAACGAAGTTGCATAGTTTTTAACGCAAAAATAATTTTTAGCTTCAACAGTGGCGTGCATACGGGTATTGATTTCGATATTTTACAAGAAAAAAATGGTATGCCAATGGTCTTTTGCCAAATAAAAATTATTTTTGATTTCCCCGTTCAGCTTAAAACAAATGATCTCTCTTGAATTGTTTTCCTTCGATGCGCCATTTTTTAGTAAAAAAATAAAAACCGTCCTATTCTCTAACTTGCAAAATTATTATTAATTTAATTGGAAAAATTAAACACGTTAGGGGTAATGAACAACAACAACTGGGAACATAAACATAACATTAAAACCAACGAAATGATTACAAAAATTGTTGAAAATGGCCCCCTTCACTTAGTATGCATGCCTCCGCCCTCCTTCTCATGGAATTGCGCACTCGTTGAAATATCCCTGGAGTGTTTTTTATTCTATCACAAGCTGAAACTATTCTTTCTCTTAATTCCTCTACAGTGTTAATGGGACTTGTGTACACTACTGTCTTAAAATAGCCCCACAAAAAGAAATCGACGCTGTTGAGATCTGGGGACCTTGGTGGCCATTCTTGGGGTCCACCGCGGTCAATCCAGCGATGTGGATAAACAGTTTGTAAATAATTACGGACCGCTACACTGAAATGTGCTGGTGCACCATCATGCTTGGACCACATATTGTTACTTATTACTAACGGAACATCATCAGGCAGCAAAGGCAACTGTTCTTGAAGAAAATTGAGGTAAGTCTGTCCGTCAAGTCGTCCCGGCAAGAAGAATGGGCCAATAAAGTGGTTGCCAATAATTCCTGCCCATACGCTAACCGAAAATTGGTGTTGGAAATGGGTTTCGGTTACGGTATAGGTATTTTCTTCTGCCCACAAAAGACTATTGTAGAAATTCTGAATGGCATTTCGAGAAAAATTAGCATCGTCCGTGAACAGAGTCATTGATTCAAATTGCGGATTTTGTGTAATATATTGAAGATACCACTGACAAAAGGTCACACGCCTTGAAAAATCAATGGGAAGTAATGCCTGTACTCTTAAAATATGGTAAGGACATAACAAAAAGATCCACTAAAATTCTCCAAACCATTTTGATGGCAAATATTTCAGTGTCTAGCTATCTTCCTCGTGCTCGTTCCAAGATGTTCTTCGACTTGGTGCAGCACTGCTTCCTCAATTTCAGGTGTTCCCACACTTAGAGGTCTACATTCAGATGTTCCTTTTTGGACAGAACCAATTTCAACAAAAGGACGATGAATATTAGAAAAGGTTCGACTATCTGGCAAAGCACGATCTGGATATCTCTGGTGATAAATCCTTCTGGCTTGCTCACCGTTACCGTCGGCAAACATTTCCGCCATTTCTGCATTTAAATAATTCACCATTATTAGCAAGATTGTAAAAACTAAATAATGAGAAAGATGTCACAGCGGACAGATTTGAATAACAGTGACTTGTCAGATGTCAAAAGCCAGTGACATATTCCAGAGCAACTAGAAATTTATTGCTAAATTGCATTCTTCAATTATTACATTAATTTTCTCGGACAATAGAACGGTTTTTATTTTTTTACTCGAAAATGGCGCATCGAAGGAAAACAATTCAAGAGAGATCATTTATTTTCAATTGAACGGGGTATTAAAAAATAGTTTTTATTTAGAAAAAAAGCATTGACGTACTATTTTTTTCTTAAAAAATGTCGAAGTCAATGCCCGTACGCACGCCACTGTTAAAGCTAAAAATTATTTTAGCATTGAAAAACATGCAACTTTATTAACTTTCACTACATGCTAAATATCAGTGAAATATCTGGAGCGGTTCTGGAAATATCAATTAATTTCCATTTTTTTCCTAAAACTTCAACACCCCGAGTTTTTGTAAGGAAACATTTTTGGATCATAGTTTATAAAGCATACTAACATTAATTTTTGATGTAGATTCACACCCGTATATATTCGCATATCATTAATGATATTTTTTATACGGTGTGGCATAAATTAGGTGGATGTTGGCGTATTTCTGCACGGTGTACACATACATGGTGGCACTCCACTATCATGAATTAGTAAAAGTGGCGTTTCATTCTGTCTTGCTGTCACAACGTAGAATCACACTGTCCGTCACTCCGTCGATGAAAACGTTGAAATTTGTACATGACTTAGATTTTTTTATATTCTTCTGGTAACTATTATGACTTGGTCTATACCCCGTTTCCGGCTTGACGTGGACTTCTAGAACACCTTGTATTCATATTGCAATAAATATCATTGTCATTATCTGTACTTTGAACAAGTACATTTTAAAAAAGATGGCGTCAAGTCAGTACTTCCTACGCAAAAAGCTGGCTACGACCCTGTTAATATGTTAATTGGTCTTTTTGTCCCATTTTGCTTATCGACTATCACACAAATAGTGAATTATTCTATTGAAACTAATACCGTACCTGTTCAGTGGAAGATTGCTAATGTTAACCCTTTGCCTTAAATTGGAAAATCCAGGGCAACTATGCGACTACAGACCGAATAGTATTCTATCTTCACTATCTAATGTACTGGAGCGTATTGTATATGATCAAATGATGATTCACATTAAAAACTATCAGTTAGTACCATCTACTCAGTCTGGGTTTAGGTTTCATCGTCGCACCGTTATCATATAAACGGATTATGCTTAACCTCAGTAAAGCATCATGGCATATCTCTCAGCAAGCTGGGTCTTACGGAGTCTACTGTTTTATGATTTACCAGCTGTCTTTCAAATAGAGCGCTCAAAGAGTGAACGTGAGCAATTATGTTTCAAACGACCGAATTAGCTTAAAAGAGGTACCACAACGTTCCATCCTTGGACTCGTTTTGTTTACTTTATGTATGACTGACTTAGCTGCCATAGTAAATGATGTATCAATGTTTTATTATGCAAATGATACGCAACTGAATCTGTCCTCTAAAACTGACAGGTTGCTGTTGCAAATCTGCAAATTTCGCTTGGTATCTGGTCTCATAGCCAAGGTCTGTCGGTGAATCCGAAAAAATCGGCAATTATGACGTTCTCGTCAAAGCACACTAGTCTTAGCGATGATGCAGTGAAACCTCATCTAAGTGGGGAGGAACTTGTTCATAAGAAATGCGTTCGCAATCTTAGAGTTTACCTTAATGAACACCTTACATTTCATGAACATGTAACTAAGACTGTTCAAGCATCTTTTGGTAAATTAAAAACTTTTTATAATTCAACAAGTTTGAATGTGCTGACTGTGGGTATGGTTCTTGTTTGATTCAAACATAAAAGGGGCAAAACTGTTGCATTAGGTTTATTCACGGTCTTAGTAGATTTGGAAGAACATCCTCTTATATTAAAGGTACTCTTGGCTTACGATGAAACAAAAGAATGGACTTGTAAAGCTATCTTTAAAAACTGACATCCATGATATTAATTTGAGATTTCACTCCAAATGTTCCCAAACACAAAACAACAGCTTTTAAAAACTCCTTTTCGTATCTAGCATCTAATTTCTACAACAGGTTTCCTACCCCGCATAAAATCGAGTCTGTCAAATCATTCAAAGCTGGAATCAATGATCTGATACTAGCTACTGATTTTGCTTGATTTTATTTGATTTTAAATGAATGCGACTATGTAAGTGTTTTGTTTGTTACTTTGATGTTTTTCCTATGTGCGTATTAACCATTTTTTCGATATGCTTAAGTTAATTTCACTCCATCTGGTTTTACCTCATGCTAAGTACTATTTCTGTTTTTTAATGGTAATACCGTAATTAAATAAGCTAACGTGAAAAAATATGGGCACCCCTAAGCAAATTATATCGTCAAACGTTTAATATCCATTATAAAACAATTAAATTTATGGTACGTATACCTTGGCTTGTAGGACCAGGACCAGGAACAATATACAGGTAAGAGGACTTGAAACTCTTGGTTTTTCGAAAACAAGAGAACCTAGCAGACCCTCTATCGATGATCGCTTAACGACATCGATAGAATGTGCGAGGTAAAGGGAACCAATTCGGCGTTCCCAGAGACTGAAACACATGAGGAGACGTTGTAGCAGACCGTAGGTCACGCACAACACATGGCCTTACCAAGACGCTGATGAGTCGGGCCACACAGAAATTAGGGTTTAGTGGGTATTAGGTAGTCTCCTCAAGACAACCTGGAATCCCACACACGCCATAGCTCGGGCTATGGTAAGGTACGTAAATGCATCCCCCTCACCAAAAAAAAAAAAAAAAAAAAACCTTGGCTTGTGGAAATGTGGAAATAAGAAAAATGTTGATCGAATATGAAAATACAACTTTATTATGGTTTAAAAAAATAAACAATTAATAACTGTCAGGTGGCCATGTTAGGCGCCTGGGTTCCAAATATGAGCACTGGGTGCCCATATTTGAACACGCATTTTTGTGGAATCAAGATAAAGCAAAGAAATATAGACTTAACAGAGCTTTCTATAAATTTTACGGAATTTTCTAAGAAAAGAGTAAATATTTCATTACTTGAAACATATAAAATCCAAAACAAGGAAAACGCAAAATTTAAATGGTAACAAAAACTAGCTGCTCAC